ATGTTCTTCTGGCGTTTCTGACGCCGTCATTTGTGTATATCGCTGACGTTGCTTTTTATCTTTCGTATTTTGAGTGACGCCGCTGTGGGGTCAAGCGGGGAGCGGGGCACTAAACAAAGCAAACGCAGGCACATATGCGGCTGGAATAAACTTGTTCGCGAAGCTCATCGAACGGCCAGGCTGAAGTTCAAATTATGGGTAACATGCAATCGGCCTACAGTGAGAGTCATTTATCATGAAATGCTTGAGTCACGTAAAATCTTTAAGGGACGACTAAAGTGGTGCCAGAATAATCAGGATCAACTTAGAATGGACATTCTGACTAAACACAGAACAGCAAAAGATTTTAAAAAATTTTGGAAAGCTACAGATAAGCATGATATTAAGCCTAGCCTGCCTGTTAGTGTGGATGGGATAAGCGAACCGGTGCTCATATCAAATATGTTTAGGGACCATTTTAAGGTGCACTCCCCGCTTGGTCCATCAGTGTCGTCCTCTGGTTCTCATGCCGGATGTGATGTAGGGAAGGTAATACATATTACTGCTGGTCAAATGAGACATGTGTTAAAGAAGATGGCTTGCGGTAAATCTCCTGGACATGACGGACTCGGTGTTGAGCATTTGCGGCATGCGGGGGTTCACCTACCGAGGGTCCTGGCCATGTTTTTCGCAATATGCGTTAATCACTCATATTTACCACATGACTTAATGAAAACCATCGTGGTACCTATTGTGAAGAACAGAACTGGGGATGTATCGGATAAGGGGAACTACCGCCCTATATCTCTCGCAACTGTAGTCGCTAAGGTGCTGGACGGTGTGCTTGATTCCTACTTGGATGAGTATATCAGGTTCAGTTCGGTTTTCGGCCCGGGCTATCGACTGAAAGCGCAATAGTGGGTCTCAAGCATACCGTCCGATACTATACCGATCGCGGGACTCCGGTTTATGCTTGTTTCCTTGACCTCTCTAGGGCTTTTGATCTCGTGTCTTACGATGTGCTCTGGAGAAA